TCTATTAGAAAACATCTTTAATTCCCTATCATGCCTCTAAACTATAAAGCTATTTCAGAATGACTGTTATCACCAGTTAAGAATTATCCATAGAAAAGGGAGGAAAGCAGTTTTGTTAAATATAAAAGCAACTTGGTATACATGAAGCAGATCTCCAGTCAATATCAATTATGTGTCTGGTTTGGGCAGTATCATGTTACTTTTTTTATTTAAGGAGTTTTCTCCTCAAATGGGGGCTACTACCTCCCAATCTCAAAAACACACCCAAGAATATGCTAATTAATTGTATTGTGTCTATGAATGGAGTAGCCAAATGCAACCATTAAAAAAAAATCTAACAATGTGTGACGTTTCCTGTTACAGGACACACTTTTTTTTAATATTGATATTACAAACGTAAGGGCACAGACGATCCACGTACTAATTTTAAACCATTAAAAACCACCTACTAAACACAGAGAAAAGCTAACATGACCGCATAGGCGGGGAGTATCTTGGGAAGCTTAACATTCCGAGCGAATTAAGGGCACAAGCCTCGGATCACTTTTTGTCAGTCTCACTGTGGCACTTCAGAGTTGGAATGTGATTTTTTTACATCGTGCTACTCTCATTTTTTAAAAAAAAAATTACCCATTTGGCAAGAAAGAAGATGGGAGAAATGTTTCTATTTCGGAAACAAGAAAAGTAGTATGGAACACTGAGGAAAAACCAGACATGCTATTTATCCTGTTCCTTCAGCTGTATTTTTTCTTCTGTAATACAGATTTGATTTTAAAATCCCTGTATACGTATTGCCTTATATAAATTATGTGTGCATCTGAAGGCCTTCTCACATATATATATATATATATTTCAATATTATTCTAATTATTTGTTACTAAGGATCCGTGATCATTAAAGATTACAACCGCCAATATATTTTTAACTATGGTGATGTCTCAAAATATGAAAATTTTAAACTCTGAAATTATTTTCAAAGTGAGATTTGCCTTATTCTTCTGCATTGGCATTTACTATCTAAAGGCTCCAAAGACAGCAAGTTTTACAAAGAAAAGGAATAAACACAAACGTATTTCAACCCTGTCTCCAGGAAAGCTACCAACAGTTTTCTGCTCCATGGTGTCCAGAAATACAGCCCTGTTGAGTGCTTTACTGAAGTTCAGAACTACAATAAATTCCATTTCCCCCCAGAGAACATGGAAATACAATATTTAGAAATTATTCTAATCCGCCTTTTAAAATTCCCTCAAGTTGCATGAAACAATGCTACTGTATTGCTAAGAAGCTATTTTACCAGAAAAATAGTTTCAAGTCTATATATATATATATATATATATTTACAAAGAATGTAGACACGCTTACCTCCCCCCATCTAACAAGGCTGGTCGAGTAAACAGTACCCCAGGCGCAACATTTAAAAACAATGTATTATAGACACTTGTTGGATTTTTTTTTAAAGACAAGGTTAAGCAGTTTATTTTCCTTCAAGTAATTAAAATGACCAAAATCAACTCAAATTAATTGAATTGTTTTTAAGGACAAATGCATTTTGTTTTTGTTTTTACTTTTTAAAGAGAAACACTTCAGAAGGAACAGGCCTTTCGTTTTAAGAACTTTTATTTTTGCCAGCCTCTGAAAGGAACAAGACACGGTTTTTCCAACTTCGGCAACAATTTTGTTTTAAAAAAAGAACCCGCTCTTTTCCGAACCCACTCTCCCTTTAGCTCCCTCTTCGTAAAATCTAATTATTTCAGCATTTAGTGTTTTTCCTCCTCGAGTTGTTTCCTGCCCCTTTCCCCCCTCCCCTTCCCTCTCGAAAAGTCCTGTTCTAAAAATTCACCGCTGAACAGATGTTTCCCTTTGTATCAGGCGAGCTTTTTCTCCCTGGTGGGGTCTTTTACCTTCGGTGAGCTATAAAGCCCAGTGAATAAAACAGCAGCACAAGGAAGAATAAGAGAAAAAAGTCCTCTCTACTTATGGACCAGATAAAACTGCTGCTGGAAACCGGGAGGAAAGAGCATTACAAACTCGAACCGTACTCCTTCCACACACACCCCAACAATAAAATAAAATAAAATAGTGCTTGGGGAGGCTCAACCCAAAAAAGCTGCTCAAGCAGAAGCTCGTCCCTTTTTCCTTCACAGCTGCGGCGAGAAAACAAGGGGAGCCTTCGCGCGAAGAAGGGCAGCGGCGGCAGCGGCAGCTTCCCTACGAGCAATGGGGGGAAAGGAGCCGCGGCTCCCCTTCCTCTCCCCTCACGGAGGCCGGCCTACCCCGCTCGCTGCTGCCCCGGCCCGCCTGCTGCAACCGAGCACCTTCCCTCCAACTGCACTTCCTGCCTGAATGAGGCCTCAGCTCCCCGGCGGCAGCTGCTACCGCCTTTCCCAGCTTCCCCTCCCGCCGCCGGCAGCCCCTTTCCTTCCCCCCCCTCCGCCCCCCAGATCTCGTCAGGCGGCCTCCCAGCTCCCCCTGCGCTCTCTCGGCGTCCCTCGCGGCTTCTTTCGTGGGGCCCAGCCCCTTCTGCTCCTGTGGCTACAGGCAGGCAGGTCGGCCTGTAGTTAGTAGGCCCGGCTGCGAGCCTGGCTGGGCTGCTTCTTCCCTCAGGAGGAGCAGCTCCTTCTCTGAGCCCTCCTGCCAGCCAGGCTTAGTCCTTGCACAAGCAGGCCTCTCAATTGACTCTCGTTTTGTAAGCGACACCCACAAATTCATTATTTCACCTGCTCGCCCTCAACCTCTTTCATCAACGCAAAAAGGGCTTTGAGGAAGGGGAGAGGGTGGGGGTTATTGGGTTTGGCTGCCCGCCAAGCTCCTCTCCCCTCTTCCCTTACACGAGGGTCCCGGGTTCCAATCAGGACGACCTTGCAAAGGCGCCGTGCAAAAAACCCTTTTGCTGCCACTGCCTTGCCAGCTGGCCCCTGTCCTGCTCCCTCGTCCTTCTTCGCAGCTGCAGCGCTGCCTAGAGGAAAAGCGGGGGCTCTGCGCTCTCCTCCAATGCAGCAGCACATGCTGCTTTTTCTGGGGAGGGCTTCTGTGCCCTAACCAAAAAGGCAAACTTCTTCTTTTAAGCAGCTTTTGCAGCGGTTGGTTGCAGGAGAAAAAGAGGGGGTGGGGTGGGATAGATCATCAATCAAAACAGGACAAGTGCTGCTGACCACAGACCTTTCTCAATTTCTTCCAACCCTGGTAAAACTACTCTTAGGAAAGCTTGGATCCACAACCAATAAATGGAGCTCTGCTGTACTCTCATATATGCGCTTACTCGGAAGGAAGTCCCAATGAAAGGGAATTAAGCCGATTCTCTTTGCAAAACTGGCTTCAATCCAAGAACTTCGGTTTAACGTCTTCATGACTTGAACTCTTTGCCACCTTGGCTCAAACTGTCACGCTCCTATTGCCCTGCTAACGCTGCCTTCTTTGTTCGCTGAGAATCTTTCTACAATTCTCAATAGTTTTACCACAAGACAGCAGATTCACAAGATGCTAACCTCTAAAGAAAACAAAAAGCATTCCTCTTGTTTTTAACAAATCAAACTAATACAACTAAGAGCCACCTAGACAGGCCCTTTAAAATAAACAAAATGCATCTTTCCTTCAACTTCCTTACCTATAATTTAACCATGAGCGGAATTGTGTTACATTTTGGCTTTCTTTTAGTTTATTTGCTATATTTTGGAGTGTGGGAGGATGCTTTGCAATTATTTTATTGTAAAGAAAACCTTTTCCTGCTTTGATATTGTCTCACATAAACATAAAACTACTTCCCACTTTTTTAATAAAAAAGTATTTTTTAATTATTGCACTATGAGGAAGTGTCTCTTTTCAATCTGCTGTTGATTGGTGTGTTTTTGTTACAAATAAAATACGTTTCCCTTATTTTCTTTTTAAGTGAGCTGGTTTATATTCCGACAACTAAAATCTATTTGTAACCAATCCACTGCTCATTGTAAGCATGGCCCAACCATGGGATACAGAAATCCAGATATGCTAATTAGGGGAAATTATAGGCACTTAACTGGCAACTCAATTTACAGCCCAGTTAAAATTGGGTTCTTTCATGTTCACTTGCAAGTAAAGCCGACTAAGTTTGTGGGACTTACTCTCAAGAAAACCTGCATACAATTGCAGCCGATCACACAACATCAGCTACTGGTTTCTAAAACACATTTAACTGGCAATAGGTCACTGCTTCTGTTGTGCTTGCCTTCTAAACAAGTGTCAGGATTGCAACCCCAGAAGCACACTCAACAGTCTGTTTATTCCAGAATAATCCAAAGAGATTGATCCAGAATAAATTGATTATGGATGGCAATTTAACATCTCAAATAGTAAACTTAAGAAGTGCAAGTCATGTCATGGAACTCACTTCTAAATAACGCATGTAGCATAAGAGGATTAATCAATTTAATCAAAATACTTGGCATTAATTGGTATCTGGATCGAAATTATCAGGTGCCTAACTGGGATGCTGTGTGTAAAAGAGAGAGTGAGGGAAAGAGGTTTAAATCCACTTAAATAATTAAAATACCATTGTATCTTGTTTTTCCACATTTTGACAACCATGTTAACAGTGTCAGAATTTTATTTTTAAAAATATTTATTTTACTCAAGACCTGACAAGACCCTTTTAACAGCCCGATGCCAAAACCTGTTCCAATCGAGTATTTGGCGAATAGGCACATTTTGCCTGGGATAGAAAACACTTGTCCGTCATATTCAACAGGCAACAAGCAGCTCCAAATCCCCCTTCCGCCCGGTGGACAAGCGTCTCTCTCGAAACCTTTAGCGGGATTTGACAATTCATGGAGCGTCAATCTTTTATTACCATTTAAGGGTGGCGCGGGGAGAGAATCTTTTTGTTCCCTTCTACATGATTTGTTTGTATCGATTATGTCGCCAGCAAGAATCTCCCAAGAAAGCCGTGTGCAATGCCTTGACACTCATTTGCCTAACACGGCCATGCTTTCAAACGAAAACCAGCCTCGTAAAATCTCTTCTTTAATATGCAGTACAATCCCGCCTCGCTGTTCGGATGGATTCCTGTCCTCCCTACAACCTTCCGCTCGTATGCAGTAGGTCACCGTTTGGGTCGCCACTTTCTACGTCTTGCTGCTTTTGGGGAAAGCTGCGATTTGGGAGGCTGTCCCCAGAAGCACCTCTTCCCTCCCCCTCCTCCGTCTCAGAGCCCTCCGGAAGCTCGGCCCACGCCTGCTCCTAGCCTGCACTTTGTTCTCGCAGTGATCTCGCAGGTTGGGAAGGCTTCAAGAAAAAAAAAAAGCAGGCAGCGATCTGAAGATGTTGCAGATGGCCGGGGCTGTCGGCTGCACGTGCATCTGAACGCTACTGGTTCTGGGCCACGCTGCAAGCTCTGCAGATCCGCAAGCAAGGCCGAGAAAAACACTTCCCTCTCGGCTGCAGCTTTAGCTTAAGTTCTAAAGCTCTTCGTTAAAAGTACTTGTTTCTTTCCAGGCTTCCAAGGAGGGGCGAGCGGGATTTGATCTATTCAGATATTCTTAAGAGTGAAACGCTGTGCCATTTGATGGTAGTCCCCTCATGCTTTAGACGGAGACCATTAAAACAGTCCTCGATCTCGAGTCCCCCCTCCCTCTTTTCCCACTTAAAATATTCTTTTTAAGGAAACCCAGGAGTGTCATTTTTCTAGGGCAGAGAGAGAGAGAGACGCTAAAAGCTGAAGGATGAAGAAGCAAGTCACCCAGTGACCTGTTTTGCTGCTTTCCAGTCCCACCGACCCAACCCCGCCTCACTCACATGGTCAGGAAGAAAAGCAGAAACAAAGAGTTCTAAACCTTTTTCTTCAAAGCCAGCCCTTTTGCTTTTGGGGGAAGGGGGAGGGGAGATGATGACTTGGGGCAGGAGATGCTGAGTAGGAACTGCAGTGACTCTTCATCCTCGAAATAGTTCCCTAATATTCCCTGCAACTACATTTCCCCCATATTGGGGGCGGGATGTGGGGGCTTTAAAGTCTAGCTCTTTGCCTTATGGAAGGGGAATTCTTTTACCATCTCCCCCTCCTTTTCTCCCAGTTTTAATCGCCCTGCCTAAACTTTCAGGAACTTTTCTTCTTTTTTTTCCTCTTCAGCCGCATTACCGTCATCGTTGTAAATAATCCTGATTTATGACAAGCGTTAGCTGTGTTCAATAAATGCAATTAATTACTGCTGTCGGAAATTATAATTAATAATTACCTATAATAACGTGGACAGTGATACCGGATGTTGAATACGTGACTTGAAAGTAATCTGCACCAGTGTCAGTGGGACCGTAAAATTAGTGTTTGGAACTGTTTTATAAAGGGCGTTATCGAACCATTATTATTATTATTATTATTATTATTATCCATAGAAAGTCTCCCGCGGGCAGCTAATAGCACCCTCCCTTGGAAGCGGCTGCCCCTAGCGTCCACGCGGGGAGCTGCAGCAGCGGCCTCCGCCAGGAGCTGCCTGCCGGCCTGAGATTGGAAGCCGCGCGCCCGGGAGGGGAGAGGAGAGAGAAGCGGAGTGGGCGGGGTTGAGAGGGGCGATTACGAGAGACTCGAGCTCGGCACGAGCGCGCCCGGCGCGCTGGCTTCTGGGTAAGCAAATGGCCGAGCGGCAAAAGGAAACGCCGAGGGGGAGGAGGAGAAGGCAGGAGGTGAAAGGTCACCGGCCCGCAGGCCCCGCCCCCTGCGCCCGGGTAAATGAATGGAAAGAGCCCAGGCGAGAGGGGGAAAGGGAAGCTGCTGCTGCTGCTGCTGCTGCTGCTGCGGCGGCGGGTTCCTCGTGCTAACTGCGCTTGCCTGCCTGCCTCCTGCCTGCCCGCCACTCTTCTTCTCTGGGGGGAAGGAGGCAGCGACGCCTTACATTGGCGTAAGGAGACGTTGGGCCCCTTCTCTCCAGTCTCCTCCCCCCGCTGCTCCTGGACAATGCAGCCGAAGGGGAGAGCTATAAACATTGGACGGGGGGGGGGATCCTCTGCTGCTGCTGCTGCTGCTGCTGCTACGCGGGGACAACTTAGGCAATGCCGCCTCCACCTCCTAGCTTGGGCCACAACAGGCCCCGGGTTCTCCCTGCTCCCGCCGAGGCAAGAAGCGCTTTCTCGGCTGCAAAGGACCTTGCAGCCTCCAGTTCCCGCTTCCCCCTTGCCCCACAAAACCCCAAACAGGAGAGCTGTTCGTGAAGGCCTTCCTCAGCCCGCGCACGCACGAACCTCGCCGGGCCCTTTTTCTCCTTTGCTCCCCGCGATCGGGGGGCGGGGAGACCCTGATATATTCCCTACGTTTCCTTCCTGGGCCGCTTTTCCGAAGGCGGCGGCGGCGAGATTTTGCGTTTTAAAACGCAGCCCCGTTCCTTCTTCGCGCGGCTCGTAGCCGTTTTTTCCGCGCCGAGCTTGAGGCGCCGGCTCGCCTTCGGAAGGGAGGGTTTAGGTGGTGTTTGGGCTTTTTTCTTTTCGCGGCCGAGACGGCGCGAGCCGTTTCTCCAGTTTCAGCGCCGCTGAATTGGCGGCGGACCCGTTTGCTGCAGGCGGTGCGAGGGAGGTGGCGGCTGCTGCTGCTGGGATCCTTCTCCCTTTCTCTTTTGAGCAGTATTTAAATCCGCGCGCCGGTGGCTAGTTTCTCAAACGCCCCGCTCGCTCCGGCCTTTCTTACCTAAAAGCGAAAAAGTTGTGCGAGTCGCCTCTCCCTTCCCCCTCCCCAGTGTCTCCTCGATGAGAAATGGAGGAAGAAAATGCAAAACGCTTCATAGGGAGAAGTGGTCCCCTTTGTTCTGGCATTGTTTCTCCACGAACTGGCGGCTACAAGGATAAAACACTTACTTACCTTCTCTCCTTTTTGCTGCGAAATCCAGACGTTCCCATCGGCTGCAAAATACACAATCCACCTTAGAAAGGGACTAGAGATGTAGAGAGAGTTTGTATTCCGTTCTTTTGCGCGCTCTTCCCATTTTGGGGCAAGATTAAGTTGCCGAGCACGTTGTTGCAAGCTGTAGCCCCCCGCCTCAGTGAATGGTCACGTTTAGGACCCTCCAAGGCCATCCTAAGTCTGCCAGTAGAATCCGAGGGTATTGAAGGTCTAAAACTTTCAAAAGGAAAGGGGGCCTGGAACTAGCCAGAGAGCTGCAAATATACACTAGGATGCCCCCCGCCGCCGCCACTACACGCACATACGCACATGTTTGCCCCCCTCCCTTAGCTTTAAATAAGGAAACCTTCCCCGGTGAGAGTTTAACGTGAAAGAAAGAAAAGTTTGCACTTTATTAATTCCTTAAGAGCGAATGTGTTAAAAGCCGATCCCTGCCTGCATTTGAAACCCACTACCCTTCTTGTTCTCACCCCATGTGGCAAAAGTTTTGAATCTCGAAATAAAAACAAATGAGCCGGCGGTAGAAAACGAGGTTGGAAAGTTTAGGTTATGGTTGTAGCTGGGAGAAAATGTGTCGGAGGAGGAGGAGGAACAGTTTTTTGTTTTGTTTTTAAGAGGAAATGCTGTTGGTGTTACTATTTTGGTAACGCGATGATCAAGCGAGCAAAAGGAAGCCCATTCACTGATTTCTGCATACTCCAGGCGATGTTTAATGCTCAGCCTCGCAGGTATTAGTGTCCAAACCTGCATTTAATCTGATTATGATGAGGTTTGCTGATACAATGGATAGTTGAATAGATCCTTGTGTCTTAGCAAATGAGGTGGATTTTCGGCCTCCCTCGGTTTCCGGGCATGAGAGGAAATAAGGCTCTGATTGTCCACCAACACCTTCTGGAGCCCCTCAAACATCTTTGGGTTTTGGTTGTGGGTGGAAATGAGCATAGCCCCCTCAGCGCCATATTGTAACACCGCGCTGGATGTCCCGGCTCTTTTATGGCTAGACCTGAAAGTTTCGCTCTGTGTGTGCAACTGGAGAAATGAAGAAAAATAACAACAAATATGGAGCAGGCGTCTCTGGTGTCTTTTCTGTCCCTCATGTAACGCTCCCCATTTCCTCTTTACCACCCTTCTAAAAAGGTGATCTGCTGCATAGGAAAGGAATGAAAAGATTGCAATAAAAGCAAAACCGAGTAAATAAGGTTGAGGGCAGAAGGAGAGGTTTTCTTTGCCAGCCTTTAATTGCCACTGAAACATTCTACAGTTGTAAACATTCCTTATTTATTCAGCCCAAATAGGCAGGCATTGTCTTGCTTTTATCGCAATCGTAATTATGGTGTCCTTTAAACTGGCTGATAGCTAGGGAGATAAGGGAATGTGCCTGTAGCTTCAGATCAAATCTCTCTCCGTCCCTCTCCCTCCCTCTCGCTCTCTCCCCCTCCCCGGGTCATCAGGATCCCCACAGTCCTTAGAGATGAGGAACGCTGGAAGACTCTGGCCTGGCCATTCCTTACGTCTTGAAAGTGATTTGTACCACATTGCTAATTTGGTGCAATCCCTAACCCTTTGGATCTCGTGTGCGTTTGTAATTGCCTTTTGCTGCTTGCTTCAATTTTTGGTGCGTTATTTTTGGCGGCAATTTGGAGGGGGGCGTTTGGGGTGGGCAATATATCTTTTGCAATCGAGTCCAGGCGTGTGAGGGGGGGGGGGGTTCTGCCCACCTGTACGTCAGAAACACCAGCGTGTCCCTGAGTCTTTGTTTACTGCACCTTTGTGTCTAATTAAAAATGCACACTTTTAGGATCCTCGCAGAACAAAGCCTCCCCAAATCCCCCTTTACGTCCAAGGATTTGCAAATTTATAAAGGCTGCATTGAATTCGGGATGGGTCAAGGGGCAAAAAAAGGGTAGGAGGTCACTGCATTTTGATTATGGGTCAGTAGGCAACATGGCAGGCAGTTTGTGTCCCAAAAAACCTCTTCTTTAAAAGTGAGGTTTAAAAACAACAAGGATGAGCGAAGTTTCTAGGGGAAAATTTGACGATGAAAGAGAAGAAAACCTATTTTCTTGATATTTGCAAAGCAAGAAGATATGTCCATGTGAGAAAACAAAGCAGCCCTCAACAGCACTATAAATTGTTGCTCTGTTTACAGAGAAATAACTCACAGTGTGATGTGTTGCAGGAACTTAGCTATGGGTCTTGGAGTGTCCCCCACACCACGCAAAGCCTTTAACTATACTGGGTATTGCTGTAATGTGTCAAAAGGTGTCTATGCTAGTCCTTTTTAAAATAAGTGTATGTGGAGGGTTTTTTTAAAGTCTGCACTTACGTTTGGCTGAATGATATGGGGAGCTGAATGACCCTTTTGACAGGTTTTGGTCCCTTTGCCATATTCCCCAACTGTTTCTTCCCCTCCCCCAATCCGCCCTGGATATATTATAGGGGGGACTACAGGCAATGTACCAACTCTGAAAATCTAATTTAGGCTGGGAAATGATATATTTTTACCTCTGAAATAAAATAATAATGATTATAATAATTATATGCAGAATAACCCACGAATAATAAGCTGTG